ATGGTCTTTGCTCTCAATATGGACAGTAACTTCTGCTGTGCAGATTGAAGAAGAAGGTAAGTCTGATTAAACACATGCAAAGAGAAATATTCAAGTGCATTATTTTATTGTTACATGCATATAAACCAGTTTGAATTTGGGATGTACATTTTGGCAAATTTTAGTACAATATTAGTAAAAGCTTTTACATGCACTGATGTCTTCCGTGCATTTTTATTTATCTTTTATAATGCTAAAGAATCTGCCATTGCACTGCAATTAATGTACATTTTATATCTAATTTTTAAATGTCATGTTATTTCAATTTATATATATATATAGAGAGAGAGAGAGAGAGAGATTAAAAACTAATGCTATATAGTATTTATTTTTATTTTTTATTTTGAACACTAAAGCATGTACCATTGCAATACTTCAAAATGTATAATATATATCCAATATTAAAATATTATTATATGCAAAATTAATATTTAAGCATTCTTTCTCACTGTTTTCATCTAGAACTCAATGAGACAGTCATTTGCACCAAAGATCAGATGCAAGTTATCATTCCCAGTGTGTTTTTTCTGAACAAGGAGCCACCTGTTTCGGTATGTTCATGCCATTAACTTCACAAATAATTCAATCAATTGCAATGCTTGAATTTGTTTTAAACCATTTTCACTGATCTCTGTTCAGGTTTGGGATTTGCACTTGAATGATCCTGACTGTCGAGGTGTTGAGGTTGGGAACGACTATGTCTTCAGCATCAAGACCAACCTCACAGACTGCGGCACCATTATGGTAATCCTCATTAGCATCCTCAAGGCATTGTGTGTAAATCAACCATAATCATAAAACCGCTTCAGACGATCACGAGGACTGGAGAACCTCCTCAGCCGATTACAAATTGGTGTCAGGACATTAAAGACTTTTAAAAAGGTTGTAAACACTTGTTGCATTAAGGCAAACTACAAATCGGGCCTCTTTGGCTGTTAAACTTAAAAATACAAACAGTAAATTTCCCTATTTTACAATCCCTTCATAGGTTGAATGGTGACCACGTGCTTTGTTCATAGAATAAGCAAACCTTCTAAAAATGTCTAATAAAATATTATACGTCTCTATAATTATGTGCATTGTAATAAGTGACAACCATGAGGGTTAGATATTCTTTTAAGGGATACTTGTATTTATTTAATTATTTTTCAATATGCAAATGCACATCATTGTTCGTTTCCCTCCAAATTGGCTGGCTAGTCCTTTCAGAGCTCGGAGGGGAGGACAAACAGCCATGTGGCTCTAAATTATCCTGATTTATATGGAAATGATTACGGTGTTTTCAGCCGTGGTGAATAGGCTGACCATAATTCAGCGTCGTACTTTATAGTCCTCCTTTTATTCTGCCCTACAGCCAGCCTCAAACAGCGCTACCGCAACCCAGAGGACAAGCTTCACTCTGGCACGGCATAAATCTGTAC